GATATTAATATGGGGCCCAAGAACCCTCTGACAGTGACTACAGAGGATGTGTATATGAGGTGAGCCTGTGTATGCACACTATGCATAGTTTTCTGAGCTGGCCCATAGTTTATTCAGCCTCCAAGGTGGTCCCTTCCCCTCTCTCTTGTTACGGTCCACCACACTAGAGTGAACCCTTCGAGCAGGGCATTCACACTTTACACCTGCACTGCTCCACATGTGGCTCACGCTTTACAGTTAGATTGCTGTGGGTGTGGCTTTGAGAATACTTTCTTCTTTACAAAGTAATTTCTGCAGTTTTAGCCAGAGAGGAGGGTGAAAGGGGTGGATGGGCCTGGAGGGACTCACTTGATATTGGTCTCATCAGAGAATCTCACAGGTGGAGCTGATTTCATCTTTTTGGGTGTGCTGGGTGGATAAAGAGGCAGTCATTGCTTCCCTCAACTGAGGTCACAACAAAGATCATCACAGAAATATGTATGTTCAAGGCACAGTTCTAAGGTTTTCACCTATATGATCTTATAACCTTCACACAATCCTATGAAGTGGATATAGTATTAAGGTCTACATGTCCACAGACAAGGAAACCTGGTTCATCAAAGTCTCACATCCCAGAAGTGATAGAGTTTAGAGCTGGCTTCCAGCTGGGCTGCCTATTCCAAGTCTGTTGTTCTTCATCAAGTGTGAGCTCCTTTGTCTGGTTACGTCTGGGTATCGGCACAGACAGCAGACCTCGGCTGCGGTGCACAGGGCTGAGCTCCTGCAGGCTCACACACTGTTCCACCTCCTTTTCTTGCCCTGAGAGTGACAGCTCCTTGGGGCTTGGCTCACAGACCCCTGATCTCTAACTGCTCAGCATTGTCTTGTCCACTCCATGCTTCAGTTGCTGCTAATAGTGACTCTGAGCGCTATGGGGCGCTTTCCTCTGAGCTGTCTCTTCCTGAAGGCCATGTCTACGCTGCCCAACCCACAGGGTCCCGGGATCCACTCCACCACTGAGCCAGAAACCTGGGAGTCTTCCTTTCCTTCTCTTTCTTCTCCCTTCAAGCAGGATGTTACAAATCTCAGTAACCTCACCCCTCAACAGTTTTGAAATCCATCCCTTCTATCCATTCAAATGTTTCTACCTAAGTGCAGCCCTGTGTCTCTCTGTGGATGAGATAGCCCTGTGCTAGAATCCATCTCCTCAGCTCCATCCTCCACATGAGTCCACCCGTATCCTTTCCCCCTCCAAGATACCTCCTGACACTGTCAAGTGCCAGGCGTTGTGCTGAAATTTTGCATGTACCGCCTTTGTCTGCAGTTGTCCAGTGAGTTGCAAAGACAGTATCCCTCGCATATCAGTGCTGTCAGTGCTGAGAGCCCTGGCCCATCTGCCTTTGGTGTGCACATCTCCACCTCTGCACTATGCAGTGTAGGCCAGGGGCCAGCCCTCTGCCGTGTGAGGGGGCTTGCATCCACCTCTGTGGGCCCATGGCTCAGCAGTCCCTGCATGGTGTTCTACCCGGGCACCACCCTGTGTTCTCTGCATGCATCGGGTGCTCTCCTGGCTCTGTTCCTTCTGTCCCGAGTGCCTGACCCATCAACTCCCCACACTGTCCTTTGAGGCTGAGCCCTGGTGGTGGTGAAGTGGTGACTGTCCTGGGCTGGACCAGCTGCTGCTCCTCAGAACCCATTGGATCCTGTATGTGTGTTGTTCTCATTTGCACTGATGGGCCACCTACAGGAGCCCTCCAGGCACAGTGCCAAATGTGTCCTTCATGCCCAGCAGCTAGCACCGAGCCTGACCAAGAGGACATGCTACCCACAATGTTGTCTTCACCTGCTTTCCATAAGCCCCTTCTGTCTGTGTCTCCCCTCTGCCTTGGAGATAAGCTCCCTACAAGCAGTTCAGCTGGCTTCATGCAGCATCTGCTGGGTCTTAGCACAGTGGATACTCGGGACTATGTGCAGACAGATGATGAGGAATGTTGTGTCCTTTTCCCTGACCACAGATGCAAGTTTCCCAGAATTGAAGGGCGGCAGTGTGACCACTGTACTTCTGGGTACTACAAGTTCCCTGAGTGCCGGCCCTGCAGCTGCAACCATGCTGGGACTGAGCCGGAAGTGTGTGACAAGGAAACCGGGGCTTGCTTGTGTAAGGTAAGACACATGGTGCACTGCTGGGGACACCACTGCCAGCCTGGGAGGAGTTCTTCAGGTGGAGCCAGTGAGTGAAAGTGTGGGAAGTGGGACTGACCCATAGTAGAGTTCCATCCCGCATGTAGCATTGTATAGGCATTGTTACATTTCACAGAAATAAAAGGGAAACCCCTCTAATCTTCTGGACAAGCCACAGAGTGTCTGCCCCTAGGGGTAGACCTTCCCCAGAAAAATCAATGCAAATGTTTAACTACAATGTCAAGACATTCGTAGGTTCCCTAAAGCCTGTCCTTGGACCCTGGACCCCAAGTTTCCTCTCTGCTCCAAGGGGTTCTGCTAGATATAAGTGGATTCCATTCCTAGCAGACATTTCCAGGTGACCCTGAGTGGGTGAGTTGGTCTCCCCTCTTTGTGAATGCTCTTCGTGCTGTCTGTCTACCTTGATGATGCCAGTTTTTAGTGTTTGGTGAGCATTCCTGTTGGAACATCTTGTGTTGGTGTTTAATCTGTGCAAACATCTACTTGCAGCCAAGGAACTTTTAGAAGGAATGATGTCTCATTCTTCATGGTTTGTTTCAACAGGATAATGTAGAAGGTGCACAGTGTGACAAGTGTCAAGAAACATCATTCAATTTAGATGCAGCCAATCCCCTGGGCTGTAGTGATTGCTTCTGTTTTGGAGTGACTGGTTTTTGTAGCCAGACAAAGAAAGTCCATATTAAGGTATGCATCAAGTTAGAATCTTGGAGGTTTTGTTTAGTCCAATTTCTGAATGAAGAAGGAAATAAATTGGCACAAGATGTCATGGGACTTTTTGAATATCACGTGGTCAAGATAGCCAGTCTTGACCTTCCTGTTCCCTGGGCAGCAGCATTTTCTCCATAGATGTCGTCATGATTCTTTCTTGAGCGAGGGGGTGTCTGATCAAATGTCACATGCTCTGGGGGCCTCTCCTCACCACTCCTTATAAAATAGCTCACGCTGCTCACTCTGCAGTCTTCCTCTTGTTTTTTCCACAGCATTTGTCACTCTCTGACATAGTATATGTTTCATTTTAAAAGTTCTGTACCCTCCTCCACCACTAGAATGTGAGCTCCTTGACACGTGTCCGTTCCCAGAGCCTAGGACGGGATCTGGGACATAGTAGGTGTCCTTTAAATACTTCTTAAATGAATAGAGTTTGTTACTATGTTATTCAACTTTCTGTTACCATAACAAAATACCCAAAGCAATCAAATTAGAAAGGAAAAGTTTAGCTGGCTCATTTTGAGGGTTTTAGGCCAGAGTTGGTTGGCTCCATACCTTTGGAGCCTGTGGTGAGGAGTCTGTCATAGTGGGAACACATGATAGCGGAAGGGTGCTCACTATACAGTGGTAGCTGGGGTTAGAACAGGTGGAAGAGGAAAGGGCTGGGGTTCCCGTGTGCCCTCAAGGGTGCCCTCAAGGGCACACTCCCAGTAACCTGAATTCTTTCCATTGGGATCCACCTCTTAGAGGTTCCACAACATCCCAATAGTGATAAGCTGGGGGTTGAGTCTACCACACGGGCCTTGTGGGGACACAGAAGGCCAAAATTATAGCAGTTGTTTTCCCCCCTGGAAAACATTCTGTTTCTATCCTCACCCCATGTGTGACACCAAATGTTTAGGATGTTTCCCACCAAGAAACTCTCAGTCTCCTCTTCAAACACCCTAGACTTTGATTCTGACCTCCCTGTACAGAGGGGTAGTATCTGATCCATAGGTTATGAGGTCAGGCCCCACAGGACTGCCCCCACTTCAGGTGCCAAATGGAAGTCCTGGACCTCCGGTATTTTTGACCAATGTGGCTATAAATCAAGAGTTCCCACCATTCCCTCTTCAGGGTTGGAACTTTGCTGTTCTGGCTCACAGAACTTAGGGAAGCACTTTGTTTGGGGTTATCAGTTCATAATAAAGGATACAGATGAGTAAGTTCTCAGGATGGTGTCCAGAGGGTCTCTAGCACAGATGCTTCTCTCCCGATGGAGTTGGGGTGTGCCACCCTCACCCCCAACACCCATGAGACCCCATTATGTCAACATAATTGATTAAATCATCAGCCATTAGTTCTCAATCCTGGGGCTGTGCCCTGTCTTTAGAGGTTGGGCTGACACTGAAAGTTTCAGCCACTAATCGTGTCTTAGACTTTCTAGCCACCAGCTTCTACACTGAAACTTTCTAGGGGCTCATGACCAGCCTCCTCATTAACATATGAAATGACACTCATCACGTTGGAGATCCCATGGTCCTAGAAGCTCTAGTGCCGGGAACTAGGGACTGAGGCTAAATATTAGAGCAAAAGATATTTCTAGCACCTTTGCTATGTGGGACATTAGAAGAGATTCCAGGTTTCTGAGCCAGGAACTAGGAGCAAAGACTAAATATGTGTGATAGCACAAGACCACATCCCTCCATTCTCTTTTCTTCTTCCTCTTTGCCTTTTCTTTTCCCCTATTTTACCACATTTTGGGGGCTACTTTGAAATTAACTTCATAACACTAAAACTTTTGCTATCTTCCTTATTCTGTGAACAAGTAGCTCCATGCCTGCTTTCTCTGTGTCAGTAATATCCTAGATCCATCAAGTACTCAGAGGAAAATTATTTTGTCTATTTTACTGCCTGTCCCTTAAAAGGAGTGCAGACTGGAAATTGGAAAGAAAATTAGTTTGTAAATCTACTCTGAAGCCTCCTCTCTGTACCCCTCAGGGAACCAGGAAGCATTATTCCTAAACTATGCTTTGTCAGTTCTTTTCTCTTTCCTCAAAATGGAATGGGCTTCTTTTGTGACCAGGGACATATTTAACTTTGATGCTCCATTTAGAGAAAAAAATGACAGCAGGCCACTGTATTACATATCAGTTTTTCTCTGTAGGGAGCTCACTTTTTAGATGTGCCTACCATTCTTGTTATTATTCATACACTTGTTTATTGTTCAAAACTTTGTTGAACAACTCCTCACTGTCAAGGACCCGGTTGTGTGCTGGGGTAGGAAGGTAAATCTCACATACGTCTTGTTACTGCCACTGAAAACCCCTGGTCACTTTGGGTGGGACAGGAGCATTTGGTGGTCCAAGCTTTGATCATGGCGGGCCAGGGTGGCTCAAGGGCAGACACACGGGGCCGGGGGTGGAGCTCAGTGGTAGATCACCTGCTTTGTATGCATGAGGCCCTGGGTACAATCCACCCCCAACTCCCAAGATGCACAGAAGCCTGTGAAGCTAGCAGCCACTCCATGGGCCTTTCTGTGATGTGATGCTACCATCACGCAGAAAGCTTAAGCACACATTTCCATGCCATGCTTTTGTCTCCAGTTTAAGGATGTGAAGGGCTGGCGCCTGGAGACAGCAGACGGTGTCGACATCCCCGTCACTTACAACCTGCATAGCTTCAGTGTGGATGCAGACATCGAAGAGCTGCCCTCAACGGTCAGCAGTTTGTCATGGGTTGCACCTCCAACCTACCTGGGGGACAAGGTAATGACAGCTGTTCTTCTGGGCCCTCTCTGGGCGTCCCCTGTTGCTGCGTGAACAGCATTGACAGGGGCTCTGGAAGCAAGCGTCAGGAAGATGTTTAAGAAATGAGGTGAAAGCTGAGCACCGTGGCTCACACCTGCAATCCCAGCTGCTTTGGCAGCTGAGGCAGAAAAGTCACAAGTTCCAGGCCAGCCTGGGAAACTTAGTGAGACCCTGTTTCATAATAAAAAATAA